ATAAAACAACAATATAAAAATATAATTAGAAGCGGGGTTGGGGAGGAGAGAGAGAGAGAGAGAGAGAGAGAGAGAGAGAGAGAGAGAGAGAGGCGTCAATTCTCTGTAGAAGAAAGAGAGAGAATTAATTAATTAAAGATAATTAATGAGAAGAGAGAGAATGGATTCTTAATTAATATGGTATCAGGATTTTAATCCCAATGTATAAATATTAATTAAAGAGAAAAATATTATTTTTCCATGTCATGTTTAATCTCAACCATTAAAAGTGGAGTAATCTAATGGCCCAAAAATTGTGTCAAAACTTGTGTCAAAAATATGATGTCACGGATCCGCCCCCATATATATATATATATATATATTAGGGTTAAGGTTATGCGCAGCTTAAAGACATATGCCATTGAATTAGATAGGGGACAGAAGATCTGGACTCAGAAAGGAGAGACTTGCAGAGAAAGGAAGAATAACAAATAAGAGGAAGAAATGCATGAAGTTTGGCGTTTCTTTAGGAAATAATTTAATTGACATTTTTTTTAGGAAATATTTGGGGTTGGTTTTAGGAAGTGTTAAGTTATTCAAAACAAGAAAGGTCAGTACTGGTAGGAAAACTTGGTTTAGATAAACGGAATCTATTAAAATTCAGCAACTTGAATTTATACAAAGTAGGGTTAACGCATAGCAGAAAAGGAAACGAAAGTCAAATAGGAAACAAAGTCTACAATTGTACAAGATTTAGGAAATAAATCTCCTATAATTAACACACGCCAACAAATACATTCATTATGTTTTATATGAAAGCGTAGCGGTGCAACGCATAAGCAAATCCAACAGAAGAAATAGGAAAACCAAGAGCTAATAGAATAGATCAGTGAACTCCAAAAAGAAAATAAAAAATGGAGAGGAGGCTCCGAGAGATGGGAATTCCGGAGGGGGCGGCGGTGGCGGATGATACTGGTACCAACAGTAAGTCTCTATATATATGTACCTACAAGTGCAATAGCAGGAGTTTTCATGCTCGTTATGATATCTCCGCCATCGGATTGAGCGATTTATCATCCATACTCAAATCCAAATCCCAATTAAAGATTGACAAATTAGAGTTGCTGCGAAAACTGGCTTCTGTGGAGGGCAAGGATGTTCCCTACGATATGGGTTGCTGTTTGTTCGGCTCCCAAATTCTTCTTGCCGGCGGCCGGAAACCGGAAGACCCGGAGCAGGACGATACGTCTCTATACGAACTAGATGCGGGCACACAAATTTATCTGTTTGAGGCAGATGACAATGAGAAAACAAAGGCCAAAGTTTACAATCATGGCAACCGTTTTGGATCTTTTCCTCCTCCTCAGAGTCACAGTCACGGTGGGGGGATCATCAAAGGGGACTGCTGCTACGGTGAACTTCATCAAGGGAAACCTCAACCATTGGTGGTTGAGGTTGCTGGGAAGCTGTTTGTTCTCTCTAGTGGTCCGGTAGATTTCCCTAGTCCAGCTTTTGAGGAGTTTAACTCGAATAAGGGGATTTGGACCACTCTGCCGGACCCTCCGCCGTATACTGGTGACTGTCGTGACTTCTCTTATGCAATCGTGGGCACCAAGATCATGGTCTCCACCCCAATATCTTCGGTTTTCTGCTTTGACGCCGATGCCCCGAATCCTGGCCAATGGTCTGTGTGCTGTGCTGAGCCTTTTCCCTTCGAAGGCAGGGCTTT